TTTTAAAGAAAATATTTAGCCTTGCTTAATCAAAAATGTCCTTATGATAATAATAATTGTGTTGGAGAATTTGTAGTTTAAAAAAAAAGCAAAACTTAATCTAGCTTCAAAGGATCATTAGTTTGTGGGTTGTTCACAATGGAGATTAAAAACAAAAGGATCAGATTTTTTTTATTATTTAAATGAAGAAATTGATCCTTTATTATTAAAAAGATTATTTGAAAAAGAAGCAGTAAGTATATTTAATTTTTTATTTATTTAGTTTAATTTATTTAAATTAATTTTAATTTATTATTTAGTTTTCACCTTCTAATGGAGAAAATTTATGTAATATTATATTTTCCTCTAATTTAAAAAGAAAAACTTGTGATAAATAATATTTAATTTTTAAGTATATAATTTATAAAAATAATTTAAATTAATTTATAATATATTAATAATATAATTTTAGGTTTTTTACATAAGCAAACAGATAGTTCTTTTAAAGAAGGAAATATTGTTAAAATGAATTGCAAAGTTAAATTTTACAAATTAATACTATCAAATCTTCAAGAAACACCTTATGTTATATTGGTTTGTCAAGGCATACATTCTCGCCCTTCTTCTCCACCATCTCAAATTCCTTTGGAAATATTAAATAAATTAAAAACACTTATTGAAACTGAATCAAACCAGCTAATTGATATTATAGCTAATAAATTAATTAGTAGTAAGTTTATTTAATATATTATTTAAATATATTTTTAATATATTATTTAATATATTTTAATTAATATAAAATTTAATTTTTAAAATAGGCAATCTTATTAAAGCAACTTTTGGAAAAGATTATCTTTCTGAAGTTCATGCTTCATTAAATAATATAGATAAACTTAGAAGATTAATTTCAAAAATACAAAAATTAAAACATCCATATGGACAAGGCTTATTAGGTTTAACTTACAATATATAGTCTGGAAAACAAGAATTATTTGGATATATACAACAGTCAGGTTAGTTAAATATATTTATTTTTTATTTATTAAATTATTATAATTATTTAATATTAATTTATAAATTTTTATAGCTACTTTTGGAAATGGTTATATGATGATTATATGTATTTCCAAAATACAAGCTAAAGAATAGTTGAAGCTTCAATTTTTTGAGATTGATGTATCATTCAAACGGGTCCAAGGAAGTATTAATGAGCTAGAAATTAATTGTTATAATGAGACTTATAAAATTGGTAAATTTTTATTTATAATAATTTATAATTTTAAATTTAATTACTAATTTTAATTATTGTTTTAGCTCTTATATATGCTAGAGGTTTTACTAATATAATGAGTGCAGAAGCATATGAGCAAATGTTTGAAGCACTTTTTAATTGGATCTATAAGTTGACAAATGAATATCCACAATTCTATCATATTCACAAAAAAGGGTGAAAATGTATACTTGGTGATCTTGACCAAGCTCAAGCAAAAGGTTTAGGAATTGTTTTACATAAAATAGAAAAAACATTAAGTTGGGATGAACATTTATGTCATATTTTTAAAAGCTGCAAAATTCATTATAATAGGTAAATAAAAATTTATTTTATTTTTATTAATTTTAATAATACTAATTTTATTTTTTATTATTTAAAATTAATAGAAATATTAAGAATAACAAATTTTCAAAAGATCTTAAAGATTTAATGTATGAATTACCTGATGCAACTCTTGAAAGAGTGAATGAAATTTTTGAAATATTATTAGCCTCAAATGAGAAAAATATTAAAGGTAATAAATAATTTAAATTTTTAAATATAATTTTTAATTAATATTAATCTAAATTATATATATAATTATTTTAAATAGATTGGGTTAATTTTTATACAACTTCATGGGTAAAAGCATCATTAAATTCGGCATTTTCATATATTGATCTTGAAACATGGTATATGACACCTGATAATACAAATATTCCAGAGTCATGTCATGCAAATATAAACAGAAATGAAAAATCACTATCTCTACTTAATGCAATTATTAAGTAAGTTATTATTTTTTAATTATGATATTTATAATATTTAACTAATCAATTATTAATTTATTTAGAGCAAAACATTATGATGAGAGACACTTTATAACTTGTACATTCAGAAAACATATGGAATACCAAAAACAGGGAAAAATAGAGGATTGGTTGCAAGAGAAAAACAATCAATTAAAAGAGCAGGTTAGTATATTTAAAAATTTAATTTTTAATAATTTAATTTATTAATTTAATAGTTAACTTATAAATAAATTTTGACAGTAAATAAAAAAAAAATACAAAGGAAAAGAAAAGGCAAAAACCAATCAACCTATACCAAATACTACTCGTTCACAAACTAAAAATCAATTTAAAAAACCTAGAATTGAAGTTGATTTATCAGAAACTACTAAAGTGGATTTAGATGAAGAAGAGCGTCTATTAGATATTGAAGAAAGAAAACTTAAACTTGAAAGAGAAAAACTTGAATTAATGAAATTATGTAGAGAGATTAGTCTAAGTGGGCTTGATGATGATAAAATTTAATTTTATACAGTTTTTAAATTTGCTAATAGATTAGTATGTATTAGTAAATTGAATGCTTAAATTTACAAACTTATTGCATAGAAATATTTTAGTAGTACAAATTAAGCAAATAATAAATTTATTATACTGTATTGCTTTTATATTCAAATACTCTAATAAAATATTGACAATACATATAGCTTTTAAACTAGTAATAAACAGTAGCAGTTGATAGGGTTGAAGCCTTACACTGGTCGAAATTAAAAAATTCGGCAATTAATAAATCAGCTTTCATTCAAATAACATTCAGTATAAAATAATTAAGTAATTAATAAATCAGTTACCATTCAGTATAAAATAATTCAGTAATTAATATATCAGTTATCATTTAATATAAAATAATTCAGTAATTAATAAATCAGTTATCATTCAGCATAAAACAATTCAGTAATTAATAAAACCAGAAACGAACGCAATGAGTGTATGGTTTATTTAGCGATATTAGTACACAAAATCTTGAATTTGATTGGTCCGCATGATTTATTTATCATGAATTGTCTATTTTTCACATACCATTTTGGCACGCTTATATAAATAAGATAGAGCCCACGAATAAGCATTATCGCAGTTGCGATAACTAACGATAGTAAAACAAGATTTTTAAAACAAAAATATGTGCCCCGATACATTTCATTTATCTATTTATTTTAATATTTGGGTTTTTTATCGGGCTGATTAAATGATAATTGCTGATCGTCAGACATTTTTTGTTATGTTTATTCGTGCTAATTTTGCACTTATTACTCTATCTAATTTTATTTATTTTATGCTGATTTAAAAATATGCCATTCAAGTTCGTAAACAATTGGCTATTTATGTTTTTAGTAAAAAACATCTAGCTCAATAATATTCACTAGTCAACTTCATTTTATTCGTGCCTAGTCTTTTGTTCTTGGGCATAATAAACAGGTATTAATCTAAGGTAAGAAATGTCGATCATCCTGTCTCATATCACACTGAGGGCTTTACCAGATCAAAAACAATTTACGTTGGTTTCTATATTTATGGCTTTAGAGTAATCGTGTTAACTGGTAAACTTCTGCCTCAGGATGTGGCAATGAACCTGCTCCTAAAATTCCTGGTTATATATTTAACTGATTAGGCTGAGAATCTAACCTAACAGGCTTCTAATTCTCGGGTTCTTGTTAGACTTATGGTAGTGTAGCTTGGTCTCAAATATGAAGACAATATTGGTAAAGAAGGCTTTTGAATATTATATGAAAGCAGCTGATTAGGAAATTTGGTTGCAATGCGAGCTATTTGTGATTGTTATTATTGTGGAATTGGAGTAGAAAGAAATCATTTGAATATTATAAGCGATCGGCTGACCTAGATAATGATTCAATGAATGGTGTTGGTTTTTGTTATTAAAATGGAAGAGGGATTTATAAAGATTATAATAAAGCATTTGAATGCTATGAAAAATATGCTAATATGGGTGTTAATGGAGCGGGTAGTAATGTTGCTCGATGTTATCGAGATGGTATCGGTACAAAGAGAGATATTTAGACTACAAATTATTGGTTCAGAAAATATAGAAGTATTTTGAAAACTAATAAATCACCTGATCATATCAATCCTAAACTTAAGAAAATATTAAACGATGAGAGGTTTAAATTATTTTGGATTGATTATAATGAGTTCAAAGTTAACAATGAATGTGGAAAAGGGGGATTTGTAATTGTATATTGGGCAACTTGGTTGGATAAAATTAATGGTATGTTGCACTTAAAGTGATTCTAACAAAAATGCGCAAGAATTTATACAGGAATTGAAGGTTTACTGTGAAATTGGTTACGAGAATCCTTCGTTTGGAATATCAAGAAATAATTATGGTGATTATATTATTGTTATGCGTTCGGCAGTAAATGGCTTGTTATGACAAAATCCGTGTACCCGACCACCCGACCCGAAATTTTTGATATCCAGGTCAGACTTTTAGCAAATCAGTTGACCCGAAACCTTTTACCAATCGGGTGATCCTGGGTTTGCTGTTTTCATAAATTCTGGGTCATCTGAGAAAATTGCCGATGAATGAGATGACCTTTGACGAATTTATTAATAAGGAAGCGGACAGAGCTGATTTATATAAAATGTTTAAAAATTTTGAAGAA